CTGACGCCTGCTGTATATTTGGAGTTTGCATGGTGGTGAGCTGTTAACTACCTCGCCTGGTTTACAGGAGGTCGTGGGTTCGATCCCTTCCCTGACGCCTGCTGTATATTTGGAGTTTGCATGGTGGTGAGCTGTTAACTACCTCGCCTGGTGTACATGGGTTCGATCCCTTCCCTGACGCCTGCTGCTGTATATTTTGAGTGTGCAATGATCGGGGACGCGATCGGTTTTTGATGTTTTTTCCGCGCATTCGTTATCAATCTTCGAGCCGTCGGCCCTCGCGGCGCGCCGCACGAACCACGAGCGGCGTGAGCCGGGGGCGGTCGCATCGGTGACAGCGACGACGGCGGTGAAGCTAAAGAAGGGGGGGGGGTGAGGGGGGGGGCACTACGAGCCAGCAAAAACGGGGGCCGGACAAAGGCCAGCGACTTAGCCCCCCCCCACCCACTGCCTTCACACCCCCCCCCCTCCCGCTAGTAGCTGGAGAGGAGAGTGTGTGGTGGGTAGGTTCGCGTTAGGACGCAGTGTGGCTACTTGGGTGGCCGTGGACGCCGGGAGAGCCGAGTTGGATTCCTGGCCGCGGCGGCTGTGACATCGGCGGCCGGGGAGTAAGATCCGAAGCCAGCGATGCTGAAATGGGTGCGTTTTCAAACGCTTGATTCGGAATTCAAATATTAATTAATAAATACATATCACGGGATGTTCGTCAGTTTAACACGCATGTTTTCCCGACCAATATCATCCATTATATAGGCTTTTTGGGTTAGATTGCGTATATGTAAGAAAAATGTGTCGGTAAACCCGCCACCACCCGACATAGACAATTAGTAATGTTTGTCACGTGAACAAACCATGGCAATTCGTCACTAGTACAGCACACCGGTGTGTTGGACAGCAAATCAACAACATTTACAATCTGAGTACGACGTTTCGCCAGTAATTTCAACTAGCTTCATCAGGTGGCAGCCAGAATTGTGGAGAAACCAACTGTTTCCGTCCTCAGATTGTAAATGTTGTGGATTTTCTCTCCAACGCACCGGTGTGCTGTACTAGTGTGGTGATGTTAATGGATAACTACGGCGCGTTGCGCAAAGTGCCGTTGAAACAAGCGCAGAGACGAACACACCGTGCAGTACCATTCAGGGGGCCACTAGGGGCATGGTGCTGGGTGCTAACCAGAGGTGGCAAACGGGTTTTGAATCCTTACCCGTACCCCGCCGCACCAGGGTTGCAAATGGGTACCCGTACCCGGCCGGGTACGGGTACTCGTTCCCTACCCGTACCCTACCCGAAATGAGTGACAAACGGTTACTCACCAATGACTCACGGCCTACCCGTACCTGTACCCGGCCACTCCAGGGTCGCACACGGGTACCCGTACCCGGCCGGGTTTAACGACACATTTATATTTACGCGATCTAACCCTGTGTTATCGATCACGGGATGTTTTAAATAAAAGGGATCGGTGTCTCGCCTCTATCTGGTCTGCCCCTCTGTTCTCACTACATCTCTACAATTCTCGGATGTCCAAATACATCTCTTGTCTACAATATCTTGAGTTATCTCGATAGGATTTCATGAAATTAAGGGAGACGGAGGGATAGGGAGGCTCTTCAAAAATAATATGTTATTAGCTCCCCCGCGGGCTAAGAGGTGGGCCGCGGTGGCTATGAGATGTTAACTACCTCGCCTGGTATGCAGGAGCTCGTGGGTTCGATCCCGACCCTGACGCCTGCTGCTGTGTATTTGGGGTTTGCGTGTCTCTCTCTCTCTCTCTCATCATCACGGTGGCTATGATATGTTAACTACCTCGCCTGGTACGCAGGAGCTCGTGGGTTCGATCCCAACCCTGACGCCTGCTGTATATTTAGAGTTTTCGTGTCTCTCTCCCCGTGGTCGTGCGAATTTTTTCTCCGTGCCCTCCAGTTTTCCCCTCCACGTTTAGAATCAGCGTGCACTCAGAGTAATTGGCTGCGATAAATGTCCACAAGACGATAAGCCGCTGCTTCCTTGAGCATCTGCAGCGGCCAGGTCGCTTCTAAAGAGAGCTACGTGGCCCAGTGGGTCTGACCTGGTGAACTAAAAAAACAAAGTCTAGTTCACAGCCTAGTTGTCTGCCTTCGTGCGGGAGGACAACTGAGAACCCTGGAGACTACTCAGCACCGTGCTGCTGCATACGAGGTGAGCGACACTCACCGTGGCCGTACCTCGTGGTCAACTCGCAGCCCCCCACACCTGCAACACCTGGCAAGCCTTCCCCCCACCGCCCGCTTGTCATCCATTCACGGTACTGACCAAGGCCTGCTTGGTTTTCCGAGGTCAGAGAGCATTGGCGGCGTTCAGTGCGAGCTACGTCAACGCGGCATCGTTCGGAGCCACATGTCAATCCGCTGCTGGACGAAGTCTTTCCCACGTGCCTCGCAAGCCAATCAGAGTGGCGAGCGTTCGTGCACCCCGCGGGTGCAGGGAAGCAGATTGGAGATGAGTCGGCACCTCGCCATTGCCGCATTCTCCTGGCAAGCCAGGGGTACGGCATTCTCTTCGGTGACCAAACAGGAGTGGAGGTGGAATCGACGGAGACGAACTCATCGCTTTGACTCCGCAACACCTTCCCGTGGGCCCTCATCGAGGCCTGTGGGAAGCGGGGAGTTGCGCCACCCATCTGTGTGTGACCCACCTACCCTGGACGTCGCTCCACGGTTCGGGGTTAAAGGCCACTTTGCGGCACGGATGCCACCGCCGACAAACTGCGAATGTCCACTACTCCGCGTGTTCCTCTCGTAATGCAATGTGTGTGCGTGTGTGCGTGCTCAACTTCTTTCACACCGTACGTAGCTAACCGTGCGGGGGAAAGACAACAAACTAAACGCAAAAATCATTTCCTTAAGAATCGACTTGTCAATCCATGTGATGTAAAAGTGCACACAGCTTCAGTAGCTTCCTGATATCAGAAGGAAGATAGTTCAAGGCGGCTGCAGCAACGCATTTCGCTGCGCGATGCGGTGATCACCGTCTTTGTCCGATGGCCTGAGTCGCCGTGTAACGCTACGTACGCGTGAAATCTAGAGGACGCTTATTTACGTATTTCATATCACAACAACAACAACAACAGCCACCAAACCCCTCGGAAAGCCAAGCGATAACAGAACTCCTGCCAACTGCAAGTCGGATGGATGAATGAATAAATAAATAAACGCCGGGCTTTCCTCCCGTTGCCACGGCGACCCCGATGCTCACGAGGAGATAATGAATTTCAATCGGCTCTTGTGTGGTTAAATAAAGGATGCCCATCAATCGATAGATCGATGAGCCAATCAGTCGAGATGAAGGATTTCGCAGATCTTGTCTTTCAAATTTGAAGCGAATTATTTTGATGGCGATGCCGTTACACTAAACTAAACTATTTTTTTTATGTTACGGGGTCAGGCCCACTGAGCCATATCGTCGTCTTTTCTCAGAAGCTACCTGGCCACCAATGACAGCTCAACGATTTGGCTCATTGCGTGGCAATTTAAAGCGGCCAATTACTCCAAACACACGTTGATTCCAAATGTGAAGGGGAAACCCGGAGGGTCCGGAGAAAAATCCCACCGGGAGACAGACACCCAAACTCCAAAATATACAGCAGCAGGCGTCAGGGTCTAAATCGAACCCACGACCTCATGTATACCAAGCGAGGTAGCTAACATCTCGCTACCGCAGCAACCCGAACGAGTGGGAAAGGCAACAGCAGCAGTTACACGGTGAAGAGCCGGTGCCAAATGCCCCCTCCCCCCGCCCCCTCATCCAAGCTCTGTAGTCCTCTATATATTAAGGTGTTCTCGGCAACTCGGCAATGCTGCAACATTAAAGATGTTTTTAATGTTACCAGGTCAGGCCCACTGAGCTATATATTTATGTTTCAGGATCGACCTGGGCCATAAATTATAGCTCAACGAAGTGGCTTCATAATCACGTGGAAATTGATAGCAGTTGTCCAAATACTCTTCACGCACGGTGATTCTGAATGTGGAGGGAAAAACCGGAGGCCCCGGAGAAAAATCCACGCGAGGCATCACACCAGCAACTCGGCACGCTCGTCAATTACAGCACTGAGCGTGTAGCGTTGAATTAAATATCAGGCGACGTTTCAGGCCGATACGTGCTGTCAGGGGAGTGCGCGAGTGTGTGTTAGTGAGCTTATCTCTCCCCTCTGGTACCAGCGGTGTCAAAATCAACCTCTGTGGAGGAGGCTCGTGAATGACGCTGCTGCTACTACTGGACAGTTGGAGGCAGTCGCCCTCGGGCAACAGCGGAGGGCAGAGGAGCATCGCTCACAACAACGAGCGGAGCACCGGGCCGCTTAAACGCAGCAATTGGCACAGTGAGATGTCTAGCATCTGTCAGTCATCTCAGACGGTCAAACCCACGGGACCTTGGTTTGTCCTGTGACCTCCTGTTATTGAGCCATTCGACACTTCACCTGGCCTCGGAGTGCACCTAGCCTGGCACAAGCGCTGCTTACTCGTGAATGGCGGCTGTTGTTGTAATTTCGATTTAAAGCTTTCGTGACTGCAGGGATTCATCTTCTTGGTTCTTTCGGTAAAGTCACGTAGAAGGGAAGTAATAAAATAATAAAAATAAAACATAATAAAATAATTCTCACGACGTTTCGGCCACAACGCAAGCCTGGTATGCAGGAGGTCGTGGGTTCGATCCCTACCCTGATGCCTGCTGTATATTTGGAGTTTCCATGGTGGTGAGATGTTAACTCCCTCGCCCGGGTTACAGGTGGCCGTGGGTTCGATCCCTTCCCTGACGCCTGATGTATATTTGGAGTTTGTGTGTCTCTCTCCCCCCACGATTTGCTAATCGCATTGTTTGAAATTGCGATTTCGATTTGAAATTGATTCATCCTTCAGCCCTCGTATCGGTGGCCGTGAGCCTTGAAACGAACCCGTTGCACCACCGCTACGCGTCCCACACCCCCCCACCCCCCACCTCCTCGTGCAGACGAAGCGATGGAGATCGCCTCGTGCGTGCAGCACGAGGCGCGGTTTCGTCTCGGATCGGAGAGGCGGTCAGAGACGGCGGCGTGGCGGAGCGAATCCTCGACACAACACGCGGGCAGGAGCCCCCCCCCCCGGCTCACCCACCCCCTACACCCCCCCACCCCCTACACCCCCCCCCCACCCCCTACACCCCCCCCACCCCTACACCCCCCCGCCTCCCCCACCCCCTACACCCCCCCCGCCTCCCCCACCCCCTACACCCCCCCACCCCCTACACCCCCTACACCCCCTACACCCCCCCACCCCCTACACCCCCCCCACCCCCTACACCCCCCCACCCCCTACACCCCCCCCACCCCCTACACCCCCCCACCCCCTACACCCCCCCCCACCCCCTACACCCCCCACCCCCTACACCCCCCCGCCTCCCCCACCCCCCTCCACCCCCTCCCTCCACCCCCCTTCCGGAACGATGACCGACTCCCGCAAGAACCCAGCAGTCGACGTCGCGGCAGCGGACGGACAATCGACTGAGACGCAACGGGCGTGAGTCGCGCGCGCGCGTCCTTTGATGCCGTGGTGAGTGGGGGGTAGGGGGGTGGTGGTGGGGGGGGGGGTCACTGGGGTCACGCGCGCGGATGGATTCCTGGCCGCCTGTGCTGGCCACTGCGCAATTGGTGTCAACGGGAGAGGGAGGGGGAGGGGGGTGGGGGGAGGGGGGGTGGGGTGGGGGAAGCCCTCTGAGTAACGTCACCACCCCCCCCGCCCCCCCTCCCCCCATTCCTCCCCCCCCTCGCGTCTCCGGGGTTGGCGATCCCTTGATTGCACAATGCCCTCGATTGCACAATCCCCTCGATTGCACAATCCCCTTGATTGCACAATCCCCTTGATTGCACAATGCCCTTGATTGCACAATGTCCTTGATTGCACAATGCCCTTGATTGCACAATCCCATTGATTGCACAATCCCCTTGATTGCACAATCCACTTGATTGCACAATCCCCTTGATTGCATCTTGATTGCACCCTCCCCTTGATTGCACCTTGATTGCACCTCCCCTTGATTGCACCTCCCCTTGATTGCCCCTCCCCTTGATTGCACGTCCCCTTGATTGCACCTTGATTGCACAATCGCCTTGATTGCACCGTGCCTTTAGCGCACCGTCAGACCGCAGTGAGAGTGGGGGGAGGGCACACAGCCTGCGGATTGGCTGACCTGCTCTCTGCATAAACCCCAACTACTATTATGATTATAATCGCTTTGTATGGAAATTGAACTTCTCTCGCACCGTACGTAGCCGACCGTGCTAATCGGGACGTGCGGGAAGGACAACAAACCAATCACACCAAGCAGTTCCCAAAACACGAGTATTCAATCGAGATGGATGATGCAGAAGTGCAAACAGCTCCAGTGGCCACGTGATATCGGACGGAGGGGCGTTCCAGACGGCCGCAGAAGTGCATCTGAAAGCGCCGCGCGGTGCAACGGTGACGGCAGCCTCTGTTCGATGGCGAACAACCAAAAGCCGCTGAGTTGTCACTGTTGCCTGGAGTGATCGGATGTCGTGAGTGATCGAAGTTGCCACCACGCAGTGTCCCATCCATTGGGCGCCACGGTGGCTATGAGATGTTAACTACCTCGCCTGGTGTACAGCAGGTCGTGGGATCGATTCAGACCCCGATGCCTGCAGCTGTGTTTTTGGGGTTTGCGTGTCTCTCTCTCTCATTATCAAGGTGGCTATGAGATGTTAACTACCTCGCCTGGTATACAGGAGGTCGTGGGTTCGATTCAGACCCTGACGCCTGCTGCTGCTGTATATTTGTAGTTTGCGTGTCTCTCTCTCCACGTGGTCGAGTGGATTTTTCTCCGGGTCCTCCGGGTTTTCTCCACGTTTTGTAATCGACGTGACGAGTTCCGAGCATTCGGCTGCTGTGCATGTTCACGTGACAATGAGCCGCTTACTCTCTGGGCTATCATTTACGGCCAGGTCACTGCTGAAAAAGAGCCACACAGCCAGGGGTGGGGCCTTACTTGGCAAAACAAAACAAACGAACACCGTCGAGATTCGTTTTGGATGCATCTGGACTCCTGGCCTTGAGTTCTTTCCGTTTTCTTCCGTGTTTGTGTTAGGACGGTCATCTGTGTGTGTTGGGGGGGGGGGGTTAAGATGTTTGTATTGTTGGGTCAATACCTCGAGATGCAATTTGCGTGAATGACACTCACTAAAAAATGAACCCGTAAAAACAAAGTTTTTCACTATAAATCCTTTATATGCGTGGCGGCTAGAGTCCTCTCGTCTTCTGGCTTGAGATGGCTGCCACCTATGGGTCAGATGATTGCCTGCCACCATTAAGCAATTGGTAATTAAATATAATTAATTTTTTCCTAAAAAGTGTAAAATTTTGGAAAAAATTTTCACGGAAATAAATTGTCACGCACAACGAGTCTGTGTGCAAAATGTCAGCTCGATTGGATCACGGGAAGTGGGTTAAAAAACGACCGAAATATTTGCACGGTCGTAAGCGCGCAAGCAATCAAGCAAGTGAACTTAATATAAAATATAAAAAAAAACGGATTGT